GACCGCCCGACAGACACATAATCCCCGAACCGTGACAAGCAATACCTCCACCCGCGGAATCTTTCAGAAAACTCCCCCGGGGGAAAGCCAGGCCGCGCGGGTGGGGGTGAGGCCACAGGCGCGCGGCCGCTGGTATCAGAATCGCAATATTGCTCTCGGCTGGACCGTCCCATCTCATCCTGTGACCACGGGAGGCGGGACAGTGCGCGAAGCCCTCTGGACGGCACTCGAGTATTTCATGCAGCTGAAACCAAGCAATTGTTCCCCTTGGAAAATCATGGCAGCATGAAGACAAGCTTTTACATTTTCTTCTTGTTGGCAATCCTCCCCCCGGGATATTTCCCCACTGATTTTCAGAGAGAGGCAAGACGGAGAGAAACATCGATGTGAGAGAAACGCCATCGATGGGCTGCCTCCTGCACGTGCCCTGACCAGGGCCGGGGCTGGGGAGGAGCCTGCAACCGGGGCAGGTGCCCTTGACCGGAATCGAACCCGGGGCCCTTCGGTCCACAGGCCAACGCTCTATCCACTGAGCCACACCGGCCAGGGCCAAAGCTTGAACATTTTCTAAGCACTTTCTTGGTGACTTTGGGTAATTGTGCATTTTGGATGCGCACCTTAGCCTGCAGGACTGGGGACGGGGACACAGGGAGCTGAGGTCTCAGGCCAAGGGAATCGAGTCTCCCTGGACATGCCCATCAGACCCGGGCCCTTTCCTCCTGCTGATTTTCCCACAATCCATTGCAGCCCCAGCCCTTCCCCGCAGGGCTGCTGAGGATGGGACCGCATTTCGGCACCAGGAGGGGCAGGACAGGCTGGGGGACGCCGCTGACAGCACAAGAGGCAGGAGGTGCCACATGGAACTTTCCAGAAGGTGCAGGCGCAGGGGCCGGCCCGCCTCTTCAAGGACGGACGCCAACGGCGCTTCCTGGGAATCTGCCAATTGTGCAAGGATATGCTTTGTGCAAACCAGGCCAGCGAGAGTCCCCTTACACCCTCCTCTTCGCTTGCCCCCTTCCAAAGACACACATGGACTCAGTTACACACACACACACACACACACACACACGCACGCACACGCACACACACGCGCGCTTTCAGGCTGTGTGTCCGCCCCAGGACTCACCTGGCACAGGCGGCTGGCTGGCTCTCGGGAGGGCGCGTGAGAACAGCATGGAACAGAGGCCAGCCCAGGAGCAGGCTGAGGAGGGCATGGAAGGGCATGGAAGGGCACGGAAGGGCACGGAAGGGCACGGAAGGGCAGGAGGGGGCGGGGGCAGGTGCAGAGCGACACCTGATCAGGTCACACCTGCTCCCGGCCCGCGATCCCCGAGGGCCTCACCAGCACCCCTGGCGGCGGGCGGACTCCTTAAGGGGAAAGAAAGGGACGTATGTGCCCAGGGACAGTGAGTCGCCCGGAGGGGGAACGTGCCCCCGGTCCTCGCCCTGAGCTCTTTCCATTCAATTTGTTCGAAGGGCTGGGGGTCCGGACGGCACAGTGAACCCAAGGAGCCCTACCCCGGGCACCCCCAGTGGCCCAGGGAGCAAGGCTACACCTCCCATTAGCGATGAATCACACACCATAGGCGGGCGGTCTCTAGTCAAGGACTTTGTCCTCAGCCCCATCCTATGGGAGATTCCTAACGATTTTTTAAATTAATTTTTTTTTATTGATTTCAGAGAGAGGAAGGGAGAGGGAGAGATAGAAGCATCCATGATGAGAGAGAATCACTGATCGGCTGCCTCCTGCACGCCCCCCACAGGGGCATGTGCCCCGACCAGGAATCGAACGGTGACTTCCTAGTTCATAGGTCAGCGCTCACCACTGAGCACCACCGGCCAGCCCGTGTTATAAAATTAAAGGCAGTCAGATTCCGGTGTAAATGATCAGGAATGATGGTTACTTTGAATCACACTGATGTGGGTTGTCTGGCGATGAGACTGGCCGGGAGTAGGTGCGAGTGGGCTATGGGCGGATCTGGCGTCGATGAGCTCTACCAGCCAAGAGTCTAGCTGTCCCTTGCCTGCTCCTGTCCCTGCCCCCATGACCTCCCTGCCGTCAGCTTCCTTCTCCGGTGACCGCCTCCGTTTCCCAACCGAGGCCCCAGATTGTTTAAAGTCCCCAGGGGCTCCTTCGTTTTCCTCCCTTGTGAGCACATTCCCTGCAAATGCCCCTCTCAAAGAGCTAATTGGTGCCATCTGGACCCGCCACTGCCTTCCTCCCAGCCCTCGCCCCGGGGACGCATCTGCACCCCGTCCCCGGCGAGGGGCTCTGCAGCAGCTTCAGGGGAATGTTCGGTGGAAGGAAGCCACCCCAAGGACCCTGGCCAGGAGCTGACAGAGGACGTCCTTTCTCCACGGATCCGTGGTAAACAAAACGTTCAAGTCCTGCGTTGAGCGTCTGCCCCCTGGTGGTCAGTGCGCATCATAGCGACCGGCCGTTCTGCCGTTCGGTTGATTTGCATATTGGGCTTTTATTCTATAGGATTTATAGAGATTGGACAATTAAGGGTGACTTCCCACCCAAACACCTTGTGTGTCTTTTCTTCATCTGAGGCATACACATTTTCCATGTCATCTTATTCCTAGCTGTCTGCTTTTTATCTGTGTTATTTCCGATGGGGTGTTTTCTTGTATTTTATCGTCTGGTTACGGTCTGCAGAGGTAAAACCGGTTGATTTTTGTTATACTCAGCGTGTTCATTGTGTAAAAAGTTTTCTGCTGGTTCTCCTGGGGCTTCTAGCCTACAGTTGCGTCAATATGGATGTGTCTCCTCCCTTCCAAATTGTAACCTTCATTTATTTGTCTTGCCTAATTGACTTAGCCAGTATCTCCAGTAAAAATACTTCCAGTGGTGTGAGTGGGCCACTTTGGCTCTCCCCCACATAACTGGTAATGTTATTTTTAAGGTCCTCAATCCAGGGGTCAGGAATAGATAAACACATTGTCTTGTGATTGGCTGATATCAGAAAATAAGCACAGACACCATTGTAAAGCGTTGCTTTATTAGAGAGGTTTTGTGTGAGATGGTCCTGTCCAATTAATCATCCTGTTACAAAAAGATGAGATGAATTAACCTGATACATTTTTTTCTATTTTCCTCCAGAAGACAACAAAAAAATGTTAATAGTGCACTAGGACTTGGATATCCACTTTAATTTCACATAACAAGAGAGTCACCTTCATGGGGCAATAAATTATTGACAAAAACCCAAAGATTGGGTAAGGTGAGGGTATTCACAATCAGATATTAAACTGCTTAGACAAACACGCACTCATTGACCAAGGAGTACAACGTTGCTTTCTCGAAACACCAATTGGATGGGGATTTTCAAGGAAATCTGTCCAGGACCGGCCAGCGGGGCTCAGTGGTTGGGCGTCGACCTATGAACCAGGAGGTCACGGTTCGATTCCCGGTCAGGGCACATGCCCGGGATGCAGGCTCGATCCCCAGTGTGGGGCGTGCAGGAGGCAGCCCATCCATGATTCTCTCTCATCATTGATGTTTCTCTCTCTCTCCCTCTCCCTTCCTCTCTCTGAAATCAATAAAAAAAAAAAAAACTTATTAAAAAAGAAAAGAAAATCTGTCCAGTGTCAGGCAGTAGTGGTTGTTGCTGGCGTGGCTTTCGTGGTGGACGCGGAATGGATGGCTGGTTAGGGCGGGCGGGTGGGCAGGTGTGTTGAAACCTGAGAGCCATGACTACAGAACAGGGGGTCCACAGGCGGGTGGGAAGCCCAGGTTCCCAGGCTCTTTTTCTCTGGCTCATGAGGCAGGTCCCAAGGTGACCCCTCATTCTTAGGTGGACAAAACAAGCCCCGCAGCGCACAGTCCCCCAAAGTCACAGAAGGCACGTGGTGAGGAGCACCCGCTAAGAGCGCCCGCCGGTCCCTGTCACTCCTGCTCCCTCGCTGACCAGCGCTGTGTCTCGGACAAAGCCCATTGGTCTCCTCCGGCCCAGTTTCGTCATCTGTGACTCCTACCCGCTGAGGCTGACACGAGAATTTACGGGCACCCTGATCACCCAGGTCTTAGGCCAATCCCATGGGTACCTTCGAGCCTGGCCATGGTCCTGGGGTGGGCAGCAGGCTAACTGCTCCCTTCCCGTGCCCACTGTGGGGGGATTTCAGGGCCCCGAGGAGGTGCCAGGAGCCAGGCGTTGCCACGTAGAAGACGGAAATGCTGCCGGGCCGGTGTGGCTCAGTGGTGGAGCGTCAACATATGAACCAGGAGGTCAGGGCTCGATTCCCGGTCAGGGCACATGCCCAGGTTGTAGCCTCGATCCCCAGTAGGGGGCGTGCAGGAGGCAGCCGATCAATGATTCTCTCTCATCATGGATGTTTCTCTCTCTCTCCCTTCCTCTCTGAAATCAATAAAAATATATTTTTTAAAAAGGAGAAAGCGGAAACGCTGCCCACTGATAGGCTGCTCCCTGGAAATCTTCAGGGGTTTTCATCTGCGCTCAGGGATGCGTGTGAAGCACAGACGGACGGCGAAAAGCTGCTCATCCCGGACCTGGGGTCCATCAGCTCCGTCGATTGCGCGTCTGCGGGAAGGAGGGACGGAATAGCGGGAGACACATCTACGCTTCGTTTCCTTTTCACAGGCTCTTGGGTCAGGAGATACTTCAATCGCCGCAGAAAGCCAGACGGCACAGGGAGAGCGCCCCATCTCGGGGAGAGCTCACCCCGACTTCTGCCGAAAGGGGCTCCGACAAAAAGACTTCTACATCCTGGGCAGGATGTGCCCATCGCCTCCGAGTGACATTTAGGAGGAAATTCAGCCGATGCCCCCCCCTCCCTGCACATTCCCACCTGGGGACCCCTCTCAGCCTCGGGAGAGCGGGCGTGGCCACCTCTGTCCTGGGGACCTCGAGGCTCTGGGTCTCCGCCATCAACCCAGGCCCAGGGGGGACGCAGGGAGGTGAGAGCGGCCCCTGCCCCTGAGCCTTCGAAGACATGACTCGGTCACTCACCTCCTTCCCTGTCGCGTCCCGCACGCCTCAGGCCTGCGCTTCCCGCACACCGGCTGTGGCCCAGGAGGCCGCCTCGCTCTCCCCCGCCTCCCTGGGGGGCTGGAGCTGCAGGATCATGGCCTGCAGGGTCTCCTTCACCAGCCGGAGCTCGCTCCGCAGGGACTGTGGCCGCGGTTAAGGAACCTTCCGGAAGAGCGCGCGGGCCCGCGGGCGGCAGATGGGCACTGCTATCTAATTGCAGTTTCCAGCTCTTCCAAACCGCAGGCGTTAAATATTAATGCGCACTTGACACTTCGTTTAAGAGCGACAGCAATCTCTCCACGGCCTGGGGTTGCCAACGGTCTCAAGTGGGGCCTTAAGAAAGGAAAAGGCAGCCCTCGCCGGTGTGGCTCAGTGGAGAGAGCATCAGCCCGGGGAGTGAAGGGTCCCGGGTTCGACTCCGGCAGGCCCGATCCCCAGTGTAGGGTGTGCAGGAGGCAGCTGATCAATGATTCTCGTCACTGATATTTCTCTCTCTCTCTCTCTCACTCTCCATTCCTCTCTGAAATCAATAAAAAAAAAAATTTTTTTAATAAAATTTAAAAAGAAGCAAGGGGCTGTCTCCGGTGCTGGACTGGGGGAGCATGAACCAGTGGTGGTTTCTCTCCCTCAGTCCCTCCCCATGCCCTTCCCCCCTCCACCTGCCGCCAGAACAGCTGAGATACAGGTGAGAGGCGAGTTGGATTCTTCTCGTCTAAGCAAACAAATTGAACCTCACCCAGCAGGAGCAAAGGCAAAACAGAGAAATATGTGGACGCCACTGAATCACCATGAGGTCACCCCATGCGGTCAGACCACGTGGGTATGGCTCCGTCCCAGGCGGAGAGCCACCAGCTTTGGGACAGGCAGCTCCGGGATCTTAGCTCCCGCCGGCCGGCCGTCTGTGCTGTTTAAGGGCAATGTCGGCCCAACGTCAAGAGGAAAAGACGCCCTTAGGTGGTGATGTTCAAAGGCTTCTCTTTCTAAGAAAATAAGCAGCAGCAGAGGAGCCTGGGAATCATGCAGATGAGCCTCTCCTCAGCATCAAATGCGGAGCCACCCTGCAAGGCTGTTGGCAGCTTGTCATTCTCTTGGCGCTTCCCCGGCCCCCGTCACGTGTGCAATTTGCATGCATTTCCTGGGCCGGCTCCCTCCTGGCACCAGAACTTGAGGGGAAGGAGGGTGGGGCCCAGGGGGTGCAAGGAAGAAAGAACAGGGTACTTTTTTAACGTCTCCGTTTGCCTCCATTTCTCGGGGCGGCTCTGCTACGCTTTGGTCGAGACGCACACGACGAGACAAGCCAGAGCACACGGGGTCCCAGGCTGGGCCCCACGCTGCACCCGAATCACAGGGTTATGCGAGGAACGCACAGAACTGACGCCGCTTCGGAACCCGACAAACTAATGACCTTTGCTAGACGGCCGCCGGGGCGACACGCCCTGTGGGTAACACCCTGAGCGATGACAAAGGTTTTCGGAGAGAGAAACTGAACTCAGTGAAATGCTCCTTAAAGAGCTTGCCATCGAGCGCTTCCCGGGGGGTGGTCAAGGTTACCTTCTGTGCATCTGTGGTCCGGATCAGGCTTCAGGGAAGAGTCGAGGTTGAAAGCCAGACGGTGGTGGAAATTTTATCTGCAGGGGAGGGGTTGACTTCAGTACCAAAACCAGCGCTTCCCAATCCTGGTGTGACGAGGCCCCCCTCTCCCCCTGTATGTCCCCAATTATCTCAGCAAGGATCAGCAACATTGTCAAAAAAACAAAAACAAAAAAAAAAACAGGGCTTCAAGCCCTGGCCGGTTTGGCTCAGTGAATAGAGAGCATCGGCCTGCGGACCAAAGGGTCCCGGGTTTGATTCCGGTCAAGGGCACATACCTTGATTGCAGGCTCCTCCCCGGCCCAGGCCCTGGTCGGGGCACATGCAGGGGGCAACCAATCGCTGTGTTTCTGTCACATCAATGTTTCTCTCTGTCGTTCCCTCTCTCTTCCACTCTCTCTAAAAATCAATGGGAAAATATCCTCGGGGGAAGATTTAAAAAATAAACAAACTTCAGTAAAACGCTTTGATTAGAGCTTGAAACGTGGACAGTGACCGTGTGTCCCCCCAGAGGGGCCCCTCCCTTTGCTTCTGCCTCCTGGTGGTCCAAGCAGGGCCCGGGCTTGTCGCTGGGAGATGCTGCCACTGGGTAGACGTGACCTTGGACCAGCCACCGGATGTCTCAGCCTCCGTTTTCTCAGCTAGCCAGGAGGGATGAGACTTCCTATCTACCCACAGCTGTTTATTAGAATTAAATGGCTTTTTAGATAAACCTCAGTGCGGCCACTGATCAATCCAATTAAGCGTTTGGTACAAAAGAGTTGCATCGACTTCCCTTGAAACCTCTACCTGGATGTGGTTTGAGGTTGTGACAGAGGTGCTGAGTGTGGAGGAGCGAGGGGCAGGGGGGTGCAAATGGGCGTGGAGGATCTAGTTTTGTACCTGAAACCAAGCACTGGCCACATATAAGGACTGTGTCCGGCCTACTTCCTGAATGCAGCCTCATTTAGCCCCCGTAGACTTAGGGCCTGCCCGGCCGGCGTGGCTCAGTGGTTGAGCATCGACCTATGGACCAGGAGGTCGCAGTTCCATTCCCGGTCGGGGCACATGCCCGGGTTGCGGGCTCGATCCCCAGATGCATGTGCATCCCCTCGGACACCTGAGCTCACCTGGAAACAGCAGCCGGGCCTGTGCACTCGCACCTGCCCAGGCCTGGAATCACGGGGCATTTTCTAAGACAGTGGTTCTCAACCTTCCTCATGCCGCAACCCTTTAATACAGTTCCTCGTGTTGTGGGGACCCCCAATGTCATTGTTACACATTGAACATCATGAAAGCATAGTGATGAATCACAAAAACAATATGTAATTATAGATGTGTTTTCCGATGGTCTTAGGCGACCCCTGTGAAAGGGTCGTTCGACCCCCAGGTTGAGAACCGCTGTTCTAAGACCTGCGTTTACAGAACCACCTGGCGGGCGGTTCGTCCACGAGAACGGAAAGGATATGAATGAGGACTTCATCGTGGCTGTGCATGGCCGCGTGCAGCTGATCCTCCAGGCACAGCAACTTCTTGCCGATGGCTTCGCATTTCTCGCCCAGCTCTGCGGAAAGGGTGTGCGGTCCCTGGTCAGAGAGGGGAAGAGACGACGTGTAAGCCACAGGTTTTGGCGGGGCCATGAGCAGGTCCGGCCTCCCAGCTCTCAGCCTCCACACAGACTCAGAGCAGGGGGCCTGCTGGCATCAAATGGCTCCCTCCTCGTTCTGAAGCTAAAACACATATAAATCAAAGCTGAATCAAGTCATTTAAAACTATGGCTTTGCCTTTCTCCCCAAAACATATAATCCTTGCCTATTTTTTTAAAAAAAATTATATAGATTGGGAGAGTCTGGGAAAGCAATTTCCGAGGGCACGGTCTGAATTTTAAATTTTAAATTGTTTATATCCTACGATCCAATGGTTCTTCCTGGATTCGCTCAAAAAGCAAATGTCTATATTTAAACTCTCTGGTCAAGGGCCCGTGCCTGGGTTGCAGGCTCAATCCCCCGCGTGCGGGAGGCAAACCACTTGATACGTCTCTCTCACATCGACGTTTCTCTCTGTCTGTCTCTCCCCCTCCCTTCCACTCTCTCTAAAAATCAATGGAAAATGATCTTGGGGTGAGGATTAACAAAAAAATATAAAAAATAAATCAAACAATCTTATATTTTCTTTAAAAAGAAAAGCCCGCCTTCCCTCCTTCCCCTCCACGCGGGCCTGATACGGTAGCGCCAGCCCAGCCGGCAGCCTTTCCGATACAATTTGCTTAACTCACTTCATGATCAAAACCTGCAGACTTGGACGCCGGGGCCGACGGCCCAGCTGTGCTGAATTAGAGCAGATGTCAGACTTCTGTCCGCCTCGCCAGGCCCGGGGAGCTTGATGTAAACCAGAGAGCCGGGCTTCCTTTGTTGCACAGGATTTTCCCATTAAAATGACTTTCGAAAAACATTTATCTATAAAAGTTTATGCTCAGATCAAAAAGGCATTCGGTGGCTGGCCTGCACGGACCCCTAAACCTCACACGCTCCCTAAGCTCCGGCTGACAACCCCAAGGACTTTTATTTTTTTTTTCAGAGAGGAAGGGAGAGGGAGAGAGAGAGAGAGAGAAACATCCATGAGAAGAGAGAATCATGGATCCGCTGCCTCCTGCACGCCCCCGACTGGGGATCGAGCCCACAATCCGGGCATGTGCCCTTGACCGGAATCAAACCGTGGCCTCCTGGGTCATAGGCCGATGCTCAACCACTGAGCTACACTTCCCTCCCCCTCTCCCTTCTCATCTCCCTCCTCCTAAAATCAATGAAAACATTTCTTTTAAAGAATATTGAAATAGTTGTTTTTTCCCAGTGCTGTCAAAAGCACCTCTGATGAGGGAGGAAGTCTGATGTGCGAAATGGTATCCTATATAATAAAAGGCTAATATCCAATCGGCAGAACAACCGGTCACTATGACGTGCACTGACCACCAGGGAGCAGACACTCAATGCAGGAGCGGCCCCCCAGGGGGTCAGTGTGCTCCCACAGGGGGAACGCCGCTCAGCCAGAAGCCGGGCTCACGGCTGGTGAGCGCTGTGGCGGTGGTAGGAGCCTCTCCCACCTCTATGGCAGGTGGACATCCCCCGAGGGGTCCTGGACTGTGAGAGGACGCAGGCCAGGCTGAGGGACCCCTCCCACCAGTGCACGAATGTCGTGCACCGGGCCTCTAGTCAAGTAATAAAACAGAAAAACCTTGTAACTGAGAACACGTGCCTTGCTAGGATCTAAAATTCCTCTGGGGAATCGAGTGCCTCTGAGGCCTGTACTTCCCGTGGGCAATGCCCTGTGCAGGCACTGTGCTCTGAAGTCATCACTTCCTTCTGCCCTTGCTGGGATCTGCTGGGATCCGCTGGGATCCGCTGGGATCCGGGTGTGGAAGGAGCCCACCTGGGAACTCCTGCTCTGGGCGCTCTTACTCAGGCCCCCCTTCCCCTCGGTCATGCAATGAGGCCCCAGAAATAGCTGCCTGTCCATACAAATATAGGGTGTCCCAAAATTCACGCAAGATTTGAATTTTGCGTGAGCATTAACAACAACAAAAATAAAAGCCTAATTTTACTTGGTTTATTCAATCAGATTCTAATATCTGTTGCCCTTTGATTTCAATCCCTTCCATTTGATCAGCATGACCCGGTACCAATGATGGCCCAGGAGCAGGGACAATGAAGACCAATGAAGACCACGGCTTTGCGTATGTGCCAGCCAAGCCGTGGAGGCCATTTACCCGATGTGCTATTCCATACATATATGTATACTTTATGAATCAATACAAAATTTACAATTTTTCATTATAAACCTGTGTTTTCTATCAAAATTACTTCTTGCGTGAATTTTGGGACACCCTATACCTCACGCAGCCTGTGACCCGGGCTCCATCGCAAAGACAAGACAGCCAGGGCTCTCTCTCGTCTGCATTGATGAATTGCCAATGGCAGCATTTAAGTTTTAAAACATAGAAAACCCATCCAGCCGGTGTGGCTCAGGGGTTGAGCACTGACCTAGGACCCAGGAGGTCACGGTTCCATTCCCGGTCAGGGCACAGGCCCACCCAGGTTGTGGTCTGGATCCCCAGTGGGGGGAGTGCAGGAGGCAGTGGATCAATGGTTCTCTCTCATCATTGATGTTTCTCTCTCCCTCTCCCTCTCCCTTCCTCTCTGAAATCAATAAACATATCTTTTTTATGGCAAACCCCCCCCCACACACACACACACACACACTGCAAACATACAGTCATTTACAACCCGAAAATGCAACTTGAACCGCGTGAGGTCCGTGCGGTTGTTCCGTTTCATTCCCTCTCCCGTAGCTGGAGGCGAACCAGAGGCGAGGCCCGCCATCCGCGCGCGCTGAGCTGACGCGTTAAATAAAGCCTTCACTCAGCTCGGCCTCAAAAGCACAGCCTTCCAGCTCGTCCCTCGGGCTGTTTTCCAACGTATTCGCTTGGCAAACACATTCCAGGGATGCTGTAGGGTTTCCTTTCCTTCTTCTTTTTTTTTTTTAATCGTCCACATGAAGAACATGTACCTCACACAAGGCCCCACCCATCCCACAAAGAACCTCTCCCGCATCCATCTGAAACAGACGGCACAAACACACGCATTCCTCTTGCCACATCCACACGGGACCCTCCGGCCGCATGTGAGCGCCCGCGGGCCCCGCGGCACCCATTCAGACACCAAAGGATTCATCCACGTCTCTTAACGGCAGGGCTACACCCTGGGTGAGTGGGGTTTCTTTCAAGAGCATCCAGATGTCGGCAGTGGTGAGGAAAACATCGAGGAGAAGCAACGCGTAGCTCAGTGGTTCTCAGCCCTGGCTGCCCATTGGAGTCACCTGGGAATCTTTTTAAAATCCTGATTTCTGGGCCTCCTCCTCCGGAAATTCTGTTTCTCTGTTACTCATGTTGTGGCCTCACCCCATCACAAAGAAACAGAATTTCCGGAGGAGGAGGCCCAGAAATCAGGATTTTAAAAAAAGATTCCCAGGGGATTCTAATGGGCAGCCAAGGTTGAGAACCACTGGCGTAGATGTTAACCGGCCTGGGGTGGCAGCTATATACTAGTGTATATATATATATATATTCATATTCTTAATGTGTTTTTATTGATTTCAGAGAGGAAGGGAGAGGGAGAGAGAGAAACATCAGTGATGAGAGAATCATGGACTGGCTGCCTCCAGCACGCCCCACACTAGGGATCGAGCCCACAACCGGGGCGTGTGCCCTGACCCCCGTGACCTCCTGGTTCCTAGGTCACGCTCACCCACTGAGCCATCCCGGCCGGGCTCAGCTATATTTCCTATGATCACTCGAGAGAATGCGGCCGCCTTCCTGGGCGCACAGGTCAGTGAAAGACCCAAGCTGAGTGCGGAAGACCCTGTCCAGGACGTTCACGCACCAGCACGGACCTACACAGCCTCTATCTCACACGAGGACTCGGATCCCTGGGACGGTGACGTCGAACCCTAAGACCCTTTTGTGTCAGAAAATGGAAACGGCCCAGGTTTGGGGGGGGGCCCTTTAGGGGGAACAGGGTCTGCGAGCCGCCTGGCGCTAGAAAAGACAGAACTACTAAGAGTCAAGAGGAACCCCGAGGACGGGACCCAGTGCCCACTTTCATCTGGGTCCATTTTAACGTGTTTTTAAAAAATTTCTAAATGTTCCTTGGTAAAGTGTGCAAGTGTGAAGGCTTCTAGAATTACTGATGTTAAATGCCAGCGTCTAGCCCTGGCTGGATGGGACCCCGGGCTGGTCTACACTCCAGGCAGGAAATGAGACACGAAAGGTACAATAAGACGTTAGATGCCCCAGCTGGTCTGGCTCAGTGGATGGCGCGTCGGCCTGCAGACTGAAGGGTCCTGGGTTTGATTCCTGGTCAAGGGCACGTGCCCGGGTTGTGGCCTTGATCCGCAGTGCGGGCTGTGCAGGAGGCAGCCCATCAGTGATTCTCTCCCATCATCGATGTTTCTCTCTGTCCCTCTCCCTTCCTCTCTGGAATTAATAAAAATATGTATTTTTTTAAGAAGGCAAGGAGATGCACAGAACCGCAGGAGTGCGCCGCAGCCTGTGGGGGCAGCACGCTCCTGCCGGCCCTGCCCCAGAGGCAGGGAGGCAGCCAAGAGGGCAGAGTGTCAGTTCATCTGCCAGAAATGGGAGCCCTGGACTGGCAGCCGCTCAGCAACCCTCGGGGAACCGCCCAGACGCATCGAAGGGGCCTCCTCACCCCGCGGTGGCCGCCCAGCGCTCACAGCGGGGACGAGGCGTTTCCCAGATGAGAGCGCCCCGGCACGCGGGTGTTCTCCTCCGCACCGAGTTAGCTTAATTAGTGGGAGAGGCGCCACGGCCTAGCCCCGGAGCACAGAAAGTCCTTCCAGAACTTTCCAAGGGGAGGCACAGGGCAGAGCCTACCGCCTTTCCCTGGGCAGGTGAGGGGCAGGCTGGCATCCGTGAGCTGCGGGGAGAGCGGGAGCGGCCGGCTGAGAGGCAGTAGCTGACAGTGAGCCAGCTGAGAGGTCGTTAGCTGAGAGTTAACCAGCTGAGAGTTAGCTGAGAGTTAGTTAGCTGAGAGTTAGTTAGCTGAGAGTTAGCTGAGAGTTAACCAGCTGAGAGTTAGCTGAGAGTTAGCCAGCTGAGAGGTAGTTAGCTGAGAGTTAGTTAGCTGAGAGTTAGCTGAAAGTTAACCAGCTGAGAGTTAGCTGAGAGTTAGTTAGCTGAGAGTTAGTTAGCTGAGAGTTAGTTAGCTGAGAGTAGTTAGCTGAGAGTTAGTTAGCTGAGAGTTAGCCAGCTGAGAGGTCGTTAGCTGAGAGTAGTTAGCTGAGAGTAGTTAGCTGAGAGGTAGTTAGCTGAGAGGTAGTTAGCTGAGAGTTAACCAGCTGAGAGTTAGTTAGCTGAGAGTTAGCCAGCTGAGAGTTACCCAGCTGAGAGTTAGTTAGCTGAGAGTTAGTTAGCTGAGAGTTACCCAGCTGAGAGTTAGCCAGCTGAGAGTTAGCTGAGAGTTAGTTAGCTGAGAGTTAGCCAGCTGAGAGGTAGTTAGCTGAGAGTTACCCAGCTGAGAGTTAGTTAGCTGAGAGTTAGCCAGCTGAGAGGTAGTTAGCTGAGAGGTAGTTAGCTGAGAGTTAGGTAGCTGAGAGTTAGTTAGCTGAGAGTTAGGTAGCTGAGAGTTACCCAGCTGAGAGTTAGCTAGCTGAGAGTTAGTTAGCTGAGAGTTAGCCAGCTGAGAGGTAGTTAGCTGAGAGTTACCCAGCTGAGAGTTACCCAGCTGAGAGTTAGTTAGCTGAGAGTTAGCTAGCTGAGAGTTACCCAGCTGAGAGTTAGCTAGCTGAGAGTTAGCCAGCTGAGAGTTAGTTAGCTGAGAGTTAGCTAGCTGAGAGTTACCCAGCTGAGAGTTAGCTAGCTGAGAGTTAGTTAGCTGAGAGTTAGCCAGCTGAGAGGTAGTTAGCTGAGAGTTAACCAGCTGAGAGTTAGCTAGCTGAGAGTTAGCCAGCTGAGAGTTAGTTAGCTGAGAGGTAGTTAGCTGAGAGTTAACCAGCTGAGAGGTAGCTAGCTGAGAGGTAGTTAGCTGAGAGGTAGTTAGCTGAGAGTTAACCAGCTGAGAGTTAGCTAGCTGAGAGTTAGCCAGCTGAGAGTTAGATAGCTGAGAGTTAGCCAGCTGAGAGGTAGTTAGCTGAGAGTTAGCCAGCTGAGAGTTAGTTAGCTGAAAGGTAGTTAGCTGAGAGTTAGCCAGCTGAGAGTTAGTTAGCTGAGAGTTAGCTAGCTGAGAGTTAGCTAGCTGAGAGTTAGCCAGCTGAGAGTTAGCTAGCTGAGAGTTAGCCAGCTGAGAGTTAGCCAGCTGAGAGTTAGCTAGCTGAGAGTTAGTTAGCTGAGAGTTAGCCAGCTGAGAGTTAGCTAGCTGAGAGTTAGTTAGCTGAGAGTTAAGCTAGCTGAGAGTTAGCCCCTTCCCCACCAACAGCCCATCCTGTTCTCAGCTCTGTCCCGGACGCAGGGACCACAGCTAGACAGGGCCAGGGATACAGCCTGCAACTGAGGTACCTGCCCTTGACCGGAACGAACCCCGGGACCCTCCAGCCTGCAGGCCGATGCTCTATCCACTGAGCCACACCAGCTGGGGCCCAAATTCTACATTGTTAGAATCCTACTCAAGCCTTCTTAAACCTTAAAAGTGTGCCTGGTCCCGTGGAAGCCCTTCCAATATTTACTGCTCTCATCGGGCGTGTGGCCCCCAAACTCCCTCAGCGCGGAGCCCCGCTGAAGGTCTGGGATGGACAGACCTCTCTCTGTTCGCTGGCAGCACGGTGGGGAGAGGGAGCCGGGGGCGCCTTCCACTCCTCGGACGCCTGCAGGGGGGTCCTGCTCCCATCCTCGGCGGCGGGGGGCCCGGGGCCGCTGCCCGGGGCTGCCGTGCGGCCGTCTCCCGCCAAGTCACCGAGCTGCGGCTCATCCTCTGCAGACGGGCTGCCCCGCGGCTCCGGGGGCTGCAGGCTCTGGATCAGCAACCGGCAAGCCTCCACGTCGGCTTCCCACACTCTTCCCAGCAGCGGACACAGGCAGCTAAGACAGAAGGGAGCAGAGGCGTACACATCAAGTCAGGGGGTCTCCTCATCCCCGCTCAAGAGCTGGGCTACCTGCCCGGCCAGCGGGGCTCAGGGGTTGAGCGTCGACCTAGGAACCAGGAGATCACGGTTCGATTCCCGATCAGGCACAGGCCCCAGTTGCGGGCTCCATCCCCACTGTGGGGCCTGCAGGAGGCAGCCGGCATCAATAATGTTATGATTTCTTTTGAGAACTTTTCTTTTTAAGAAGCATGACTCAAAGGCCCTGCTTTTGTGATGAATGGAAGCTGCAGGACTCTCTTCTGAGGCCCAGCATACAATCCAACCCCAGCAGGTCCTCCCAGCGCAAGAAATGCCATCTTTACACCGGCAGCCACGGGAGGAAGAAGCCCGGGTTCTGCCTGAGGCGGCTGAGATAAGGGACTTAGAAGCCATCCTGGGGTGGGCTCCGTCCACACAGGGAGAGCGCCCAGCAGCGGGGGTGTCTGCAGGGGCTGCTGGGAGCTAGTGTCCCACCCGTGGTGTGTGCATCAGGGCGGCTGGGGGTGCGGTGGGTGGGAAGCGAAGGGAGCAAACCGGATCAGAGGAAGTGCCGGGCGCAATATTCTGTCCAGACGACATTTGCCGAGGCTGCTCAGAACTGTCACCCCACTCCCCGTGAGACGAGGACACAGCGGAGCCCCCCAAAATGATGGCATGAGCGTCTGAGAAGTCCCATGAGGCGTTGAGCTTATATTCATCCTACATGTGAAGCCAACAGGTCCTACCATGTTAGCAAACTCAAACGTCATACAATCCTGCCTGGCCAGCGTGGCTCAGTGGTTGAGCGTCGACCTAGGAACCAGGAGGTCACGGTTCCATTCCCGGTCAAGGGCACACGCCCGGGTTGCGGGCTCCATCCCTAGTCGGGGGGCGTGCAGGAGGCAGCCGATCTAGGATTCTCTCTCATCTTTGATGTTTCTGTCTCTCTCTCCCTCTCCCTTCCTCTCTGAAATCAATAAAAGTAAATATTTTTGAAAGGAACACGTAGAAACCTGTCTCGGAGAGGAGGCGGCGGGCGCAGAGCGCACCTGGCCCAGGTGAGCACCCCCTCGCTAAGCAGGAGCCCAGGTGAGCACCCCCTCGCTAAGCAGGAGCCCAGGTGAGCACCCCCTCGCTAAGCAGGAGCCCAGGTGAGCACCCCCTCTCTAAGCAGGAGCCCAGGTGAGCACCCCCTCTCTAAGCAGGAGCCCAGGTGAGCACCCCCTCTCTAAGCAGGAGCCCAGGTGAGCACCCCCTCTCTAAGCAGGAGCCCAGGTGAGCACCCCCTCGCTAAGCAGGAGCCCAGGTGAGCACCCCCTCGCTAAGCAGGAGCCCAGGTGAGCATCCCCCTCGCTAAGCAGGAGCCCAGGTGAGCACCCCCCTCTCTAAGCAGGAGCCCAGGTGAGCACCCCCTCGCTAAGCAGGAGCCCAGGTGAGCACCCCCTCGCTAAGCAGGAGCCCAGGTGAGCACCCCCTCGCTAAGCAGGAGCCCAGGTGAGCATGCCCCTCGCTAAGCAGGAGCCCAGGTGAGCACCCCCCTCTCTAAGCAGGAGCCCAGGTGAGCACCCCCCTCGCTAAGCAGGAGCCCAGGTGAGCACCCCCTCTCTAAGCAGGAGCCCAGGTGAGCACCCCCCTCTCTAAGCAGGAGCCCAGGTGAGCACCCCCTCTCTAAGCAGGAGCCCAGGTGAGCACCCCCTCTCTAAGCAGGAGCCCAGGTGAGCACCCCCTCTCTAAGCAGGAGCCCAGGTGAGCACCCCCTCTCTAAGCAGGAGCCCAGGTGAGCACCCCCTCTCTAAGCAGGAGCCCAGGTGAGCACCCCCTCTCTAAGCAGGAGCCCAGGTGAGCACCCCCTCTCTAAGCAGGAGCCCAGGTGAGCACCCCCTCGCTAAGCAGGAGCCCAGGTGAGCACCCCCTCGCTAAGCAGGAGCCCAGGTGAGCACCCCCTCGCTAAGCAGGAGCCCAGGTGAGCACCCCCTCGCTAAGCAGGAGCCCAGGTGAGCATGCCCCTCGCTAAGGAGGGGAGCCATTTCCTCGGAGGGCGCCTCTGGCCCACAGGCCTCCTGACCCCACGCTCTCTGGCGACCACCTTCCTCCCACGTCGGGCCCGAGGCCGGGAGGTGCCAGCCCATGGAGAGAGCCTGCTTCCCAAGCAGCAGAGGGAAGCCGGCAGCACCTGCTTGTCCCGCAGAGCAGAGCACGGCTCGGCGAGGCGCCCCCCTCATCGCCTCTCACCGTGTTTCAGCGACGGCATCGTCTGAGCAGAGAAAGGTCTAGGCCAGTGATGGCGAACCTTTTGAGCTCGGCGTGTCGGCATTTTGAAAAACCCTAACTTAATTCTGGTGCCGTGCCACATAGAGAAACTTTTTTGATATCTGCAACCATAGTAAAACCAAGACTTATATTTTTGGTATTTATTTTATATATTTAAATGCCATGTAACAAAGAAAAATCAACCCAAAAAAAATGAGTTCGCGTGTCACCTCTGACACGCGTGTCATAGGTTCGCCATCACTGGTCTAGGCGTGGCCCGATTAAAGAGCGACTTAACAATTTCCAAAATAGCAGCGCGACCGTCTGCACGAAGCTGGACCGGCCGAGAAGCCGCACGCCGTACGCGCTCAGACCCGCTTCCTGGGTGAGAAGCAGCCCCTGTGGCTGTTTCCACATCCGCAAAACCAGAAACATCTGGACGGGCCACGGTGTCCCTGACACGTCCCAACTCTGAACTCGTCCTTGGGTTAAAAATTAAAGAGTGAGCAACCAGGAATGTCATGCTGGGGTAGCAGCAGGACTCAACACAGAACCCTGAGGTGGGAATTCTCCTGTGGTAGGAGCTGGGCCGGCGTCCGTGAGACGCGAAAAAAGAAAAGAAAAACAGGCCAAGGCGGGGAACCTCAATGTAACAAAACGAAGGATTCTCTCTCCTTACAGAACAGGAGAGAGATCCCTGATCTCGGCCGGACACGTGCGGCATTTTAACCCGTTTACGTTTAATAGAGGGGGAGGGGCCGGGAGGTGTTTGTGTGGCCCCTGCTTCTTCCGTCACAAACTTGCCAGCCTTTGCTCGGCCTCACCCCGTGCTGTCAGAACACAGGACACAGACGTGCGTGGAGTCTGGGACGCGGGGGGTCGCCGTCCTCACCTGCGCAGCTTGCCCTCCAGCGCGTCCATGTACCTCTCGGCCTCCTCCTTCACGCTGGCTTCTGCAAAACAAATGCCCAGAGTGGATGCAAAGACGGAGCCAAGCCCAGAATGACTCAGTCGAAGCCGAACGCCAAAGGCACTCGGTCAGGCCGCATCCCAGGCGTGCAAAATGCGTGCATCCGTGGGCGTGGCTGCCTGGAGTGATGGCTGGGGACCCGAGTCAGAGCCGGAGGGAGCAGGCACGGGCCGCCCCTGCCCTGTCTGCAGGAGGCAACTCACCCGGATCTGGCAGGAACCTCCCTGTGCCCTGTGCCTCTCCCCTTGCCCACCTGACAGCCAGGAGCTTAGCTGCAGCGTCTGAGGGAGAGAACAGGACCGAGGAACCACCCCCCCTTCTGTGGTAGCAAGGGATGGAGGACCCTTCGCTGATGAACAGCCGGACTCAGGGTCCCGCCAGGGAGCAGACGTCCCCGGCTCAGCTCCCAACGCTCCCGATCAGCTCCCACGAGGGATCAACGCGATGCCGTCACCACCAAGTGCTGGAGGAAGGAATGACGGTGACGGCGCCACAGAGCAAAGAGGTGCTTTCTGTTTTTTTAAATATATTTTTATTGATTTCAGAGAGGAAGGGAGAGGGACAGAAACATCGATGATGAGAGAGAATCATGGATCGGCTGCCTCCTGCACGCCCCACACTGGGGATGGAGCCCGCAACCCGGGCCTGTGCCCTGACCGGGAATCGAATCGTGACCTCCTGGTTCCTAGGCTGATGCTCAACCACTGGCTGAGCAAAGAGGCACTTTATTTTATCTTATTATTTCTTTAATCCTCACCCGAGGATATCTGTCCATTGATTTTTAGAGAGAGTGGAAGAGAGAGGGAAAGACAGAGACAAACACGTCGATGGGTTGCCTCCTGCACGAGCCCCGACCAGGGCCGGGGCCGGGGAGGAGCCTGCAGCCGAGGTACATGGCCCTGACCGGAATCGAACCCGGGACCCTTTGGTCCGCAGGCCGACGTTCTGTCCACTGAGCCACACCAGCCAGGGCAAGAGGAGCTTTATTGACAGAGAAAAGACGTGGTGGGTATGGGGCCAGGGCTTCCTGGCCAGGCTGTCGCTGTGAGCGCCCAGGAGAGCAGGAGGCCAACGGGTCTCCATCTGACGGTGGCTGTACTTATTGATGTTGCTATCACCTCTAGAATTACTATCATGACTGCTATGGCGGACTCTATCATCATTCCTATTCCACTCTCTCCTCTCAGGTAACTGACGCCGAGGGGCTGGTTCCCACGCTAACGCTGGGTGCGTGGACAGCACAGGCCACGCTGCCCGCCTCTCAGCCCGGAGTCTGTGCCTGGGGGGCACTCAGACACAGTCCGCGCCTCCTCCCCCAGCTTTAGCCTCGTCGTTGCCCATCATCCGGGGCCGGAACCAATCAAATACGCCATCGCCAACCCGGCCACGGCCTCGCTCCGCTGCTCCCCGGGGAGCAGGGCTCAGCGTGTGGTCCTCGCTCTTCCATTCGAGGTTGATGCCAGCTTTGCAGAGAGAAGAGAAAGGATGCGATCCGGGTCCTGCAGGATGAATGGGCGGCGGCGACCGGGAGCCAGCTTCCCCTCGGGGCTGTCACGGACTCTCATGCTGACATCCATCTAACACAGCGGTTCTCAACCTGTGGGTCGCGACCCCTTTGGCGGTCGAACGACCCTTGCACAGGGGTCGCCTCAGACCATCCTGCAGATCAGATATTTCCATGACGATTCATCACAGTAGCCACATGACAGTGATGAAGTAGCCACGGAAATAATTTCATGGTTGGGTCACCACATGAGGAACTGTATTAAAAGGGCCAGGAGGTTGAGAACCACTGGTCTAAGGTCTCTTAGAGGCCCACCACGCGGCAGGGAGCGTGTGACGGCACTGGGGCCGCAGAGGTGCCCTCGGCCGGGGGAAAGCCGGGTGTGGTGACAGACGGCCGCATAAACAAATGACCGCACAAGGTCAGTTCAAGGGCAGACACTTAAAGAGGCAGTCCTTCCGTGCCCATCGTGGGAAGAGCTTCGGCCCAGCTTGGTGGGGTTAAAAACTGCCAGCGGGGCTCAGGGGTTGAGCATCAACCTATGAACCTAGGAGCCTGGGTTTCGGGCCCGATCCCCTGTGGGGCGAGCAGGAGGCAGCCAATCGATAATTCTCATCATTGATGTTTCTCTCTCTCTCTTTCTCCCCCTCTTCCTTCCTCTCTGAAGTCAATTAAAAAACACTTTATCGAAAAGTAAAATGAATTATGCTCAACTATGTCTGCACTTGGCTTCCACCGCGTCGCCCTGGGATGGTGCGTGGCCGCGGCCGCCTCGCAGAGCCCGCCCCGGTGCCCTTGAGCCAGGGCACATCTCAGGGACCTGCCCATCTCCGTGCTCATGTGGGCGGGCTCTGGGGGGAAGGGACAGCAGGCGGGAGGAAGGAGGGCGCGGTGGGCAGATCAGCCCCACGCGGATGAAAAGCACTTATTCTAGCCTGAGCGGGGACGCCGCGTAACAGACCCCCGGGCTCCGACCCACCTGCTGTGTGTGCCCGTTCGCCGGGCGGCACCTGCCAGTCATCCTCGCCTTCCCACCTCGCACCTGCTCCTGCCTGCGTCTCCCGTGCCCTTGAAGCTCGCAGCTCACAGCTCAGCACTTTCGGTGACAAAGAAGCACCAAGTGTGCGAGGCGGGAGAGCAGCTGGGAAAGAGCCGACCCGACGGGGTCCACGCGGCACAGCCCCCTCCCCGCCCGTCCCGGCGGCCAGACGCCTCCACTGAGCGCACGGCTCCCTCCGTCGCCCTCGGCCACTTCCTCGATTCAGTGACAATCGTTTAAAAATTCCTTGAAATGCCTCTTTATTTGTCTTGCCTGGGAGTGTGCATTCAAGAATATACACCCTCGTTCTTTGATTCTTTCGCCTTACTTCCCTCAAATACACACACGCACCTGCCACACACATGCACACATGTACACAGGCCATGTGCAGGCATATCACGTTTGCATGCATGTACGTGTGAGCACACGTGCACGCACCACATATATGTGCACGTGTCACGTGCATAAAAACACTGCACGCATACCATACACGCACACACACAATTTACTTCTCTTCATGCCTTTGGATAGAACAGGCGTAGAACTGGGGGCTTCATTTTTCAAATGAAATACTGTTTTCGCAACCAATTTGTGTAAAACAAAAAAGCCCCGGCCATGTGGCTCCGCTGGTTGGAGCGTTGCCCGTGCACCGAAGGGTTGCGGGTTCGAGTCCCAGGGGGCGTGGTGGGGACAGGGTCACGTGTCGGCTGGAAGCAGAAAGAAGAACGTGGAAGCTCCCCACCGAAACCCACGGCGCACACCGGCCACGGCCCCCCACGGCCCCCGGGAACACGCCCCAGCAACGTGGAGGCTGAGAGCATTTTCAGCCTCTGACTCGGAAGCTGGATTTGGGGCGAGGCTGCTGCGAACACGGGGTGTATGAGAACGAGGTGCAGCAAGCGCATGCGGCATGGCCCCAGCTCACAGGCCCCCCTCTCCCCAGCCCCCACACGCCCTGAAGAGCACGGATCCCCTAAAAATAGCCCACCACGGCCGCAAGGAGAACGGGCGAGATGAGTCCGATTTCCACGCCTCTCGTTTTCAATTAGGCGCTGACCTTCCAGAAGCGTGAGCCGCGAGGAGGCGGCTGGAACGTTTAAAATCGAATTTTCGAAAACTGGGTCCTCGGGCAGAGCCGTGAACACACATCTGCACGTGTCACTGCGCCTGCAGCTCAGCGCCGGGCAGCACCGTGCCCCTGCTTGGTGAGACGGCCCAGCCTGGGCGCGCTCAGCCCGGAGGGCAGCCCTCTCGCGGGGCGTTGGGGGGAGGGGGAGGGGAGGCCGGGGATGAGGGTTACTGACACCCCCTGACAGGTGTCAGCTGGTGCACCTGGTCCCCACAGGGACCTTAATCTGCAGCCCAGGACCTCGGGAACCTCATGAACCAGCAGGGAGATTTCACACCTGGAGAGGAGGAAGGAGCGAGGCTGTGCAGGGGGAGACGGCTGCCTCCTTCTCCACGGCCGCCTCCCCCTGCACGGCCGCCTCCTCCCCCTGCACGGCCGCCTCCCCCTGCACGGCCGCCTCCCCCTGCACGGCCACCTTCCCCTGCACGGCCGCCTCCTCCCCCTGCACGGCCTCCTCCCCCTGCACCGCCGCCTCCTCCCCCTGCACGGCCTCCTCCCCCTGCACGGCCGCCTCCTCCCCCTGCACGGCCGCCTCCTCCCCCTGCACGGCCTCCTCCCCCTGCACGGCCGCCTCCCCCTGCACGGCCGCCTTCCCCTGCACGGCCGCCTCCTCCCCCTGCACGGCCGCCTCCCCCTGCACGGCCTCCTCCCCCTGCACGGCCGCCTCCCCCTGCACGGCCTCCTCCCCCTGCACGGCCGCCTTCCCCTGCACAGCCGCCTCCTCCCCCTGCACGGCCGCCTCCCCCTGCAGGGCCGCCTCCTCCCCCTGCACGGCCGCCTCCCCCTGCACGGCCGCCTCCCCCTGCACAGCGTGCCTTCCCCAGGCGCCAGGGGCAGCCCCCGGCAGTGCGGGCCGCGGGGGCTCGTTAGGCCTGGGAAACAGAACCACACGGCAGCAGACGCACGGACGGCAGCATGAATGATTCAAGCCGCGCTCGAAGTCTCGGGGTTAAAAATACCTCCTCTGGCTGCGAGATGCAGCATTGTGGTCGCGACGACTGGGGACAGGATTTCCATATTTTGTCAGGAGTGGGGGGGGGGGGCGGGGGGCGGAGAGGAAGGATGGAGAGAACAATGCCCGACCCCGAGGCGGGCTCTGGAGCGGCCGGCACGCTGCCAACATGGGAGGGCACAGCCTTCCACGCCAGGGACACCTGTGCAGGATGCCACCGTCCTTGACCCGGCACCGCTGACCTCGCCTGCCTCCCCAGGGGCTCCATGTGACCCCATCCTCCCAACCTCTGCCTGCGCTCACACCCCCAATTCCAGACCCTGAGAGCCTCAGACAACACAGTGGATCTGGTCCGAAAG